TCTTGCCTAATGACACAACGGCAGCAGACATAAGTGGGAGTCGGTGGAGAAAGTCTTGTGGTGAGCTCGAACCCACGACCTTCAGGCTCAAAGGTCAATGCTCTACCAACTGAGCCACTGTTTAACTCCTCTCCATCCCCTCTCACTGTGACTGTCAGACGATGGGTGTCCTTTGTTATTATTTCAGGTGTTGATGATCACAATACTTCCAACTCAATGTTTCAATCTTTCGATTTGTTCTGTGCTGTATTCAGGATATCTAATGTATCATGGATTTCTTATGCTGTATCAGGCTGTAAACATGACACCAGGCCCGAACAAAGGAGAAACGTTTTTGTTGTTAAGATTTACCGTATTGAAAACATATGGATTAGGTTTCTTTCATGACGCAGAGCTGATACTTTAACAATCTTAAATGTGTTTTTGACCCTCAGCATAAGCCTCATGTCTCTCATACACTTTCACTGTAATTCCTGTGCTTTGGAGAACAATACTCCATCTAAAAGTGATTAGTAAAACACCATAAATATTTCAAAATGCTTTGAGGAATGTTAAGAGCTGAATGTTAGCGCTTTTTTTAGACCATGTGACCTTTAGCTCAACCACACACTGTAAACAACCTGATGTGGCTCTTTTCACCACTTTTGATATGTTTTACTCCCATCACTTGTGGGTATTTCTTATTATTCACGACCCATCACAAATGTGTACAAGAATTTGCCCTCACATAAACTTAAAATTACAATTCCGATCACGGCTCTTAGACAGTCGCCAAATACATTCCACTTAATGTGAGTCATTTCTTGGCTTTCTTTACCAATCTCTATTACAATATCTGGCTACTGAACCAATCTGCTACCAACGTTTGAGTCATAAATGCTCAAGAATTGCTGATGTCTCTGAAAATAGCTGGAGTGAACATTCACAATCTCCACGCAGCAACAGACCACAGCAGACTTTTCCATAGACGTCAAAGCTCAGCATTTACTACCAGAACTGACACATGATCATTCTTGATTGATGATTCTTTTTTAGTCATTTTGGAATAGTTTTGTATTTCTTGGGTACTTTACTTTTTACTATCTATTTATTTATGATTTACTTAAGCTTAGTATTGGCTTAGAAGTAGCAACCATGTTTGAATTTGAGATACAACTGTAACATAGGCAATCAATGTCAATACAAACTTTGAGATGGGATACCTGACTACCACAACAAGACTATGTAATCCATGTTGTTCTGTTGTTCTATCAATAGTTTTCACATGGATGTATTTTTAGCCTCCGTCACATCTTTAGAGCAGCTTTTTCAGAACCCTCAGTCACCCTCAGTCCAATCAGCTCTCAACCCAATCAGTCAAATAGTGATTCGCAGGACTCTTTTTCACAAGTGTTTAAAAGATAGATCTTTCCAATTAGATAAAGACAGCATTTTATTCTTACTGTTGAGAAAGACAACATGTATTATTTAGTATTATACAATTTAGGCACCCCAGCTTTAATTTCATGTATTATGTATTTTTTCAATGACACATAATGAATAATAAGTTCCACCACAGTATCGACTGAATTGAGATGGGAAATGATGAATGTATGAAATTACCACAGCTCTAGAAGAGGCGAGCCAGTTTATAGTGAGAACATTTGACAACTGTATTTTCCGCCAATTAATCGTGTGAAATTTATGCTGCATTCGTAATGTTGTCCAGGACTCTCGTAATTCACTATTTTAACGCGTTTAACAGAACCAGCCTGCACTGTTTGCAGTTGTTAGCTTCTCAAATGTAAAAGTTTGACCGTTTTTCACAAGATTTAACTTAATCTCAGGTCCCTTCTTGCACAAGTCTGTTGCCAATGATAAGAACAACCAACAGAAAAACCCTAAATATAGCAAGGATTTCCCGAGCACAGTGCAGTCTTTCAAACTGAATTTTAAAGTGAATTAATTGACTAAATACTATAGTTTGTTGATGATTAATGAACATACTGCATAAAATACTGCATTAGTTCTCACGTGCATTTTTTTTCTCCCTCTGTCGCACTTTAGATCACAGTAGTTATTTGATCAGTTAAAAGATCAAGTGTTTTATTAGAAGTTGAAGACAGCATGTGGTGGTCTGAAAAACAAAGTTAGGTACTCCAGCTTTAATATTTGATCGTTGACACTTTTGACAACCCTATATTTAAGGAATAAAAATATACACAGAAGTTCAAAAGGGTTGCACAGTGTATGAGGTGGTAAACGTTGACATCCTGCACTACATTATGTCAGGAGCTGTGTCAGACTGCACCCAGGTCATAAACAGCAGAATGACTGAGGTTCACTCAGAGACGACCTTTTACCGCCGCCTTGTTAGTGCAAGCTGCTGCGCCGCCCACGCCCGGGGCCAAGGAAATCTGACGTTTAGCAGCATTTGCATTGTGCATGTTTTAGATTGTGTTTAATTTATAACATATGTATATATAATAATGTAACATATTGTTGAAAAGGGGAATGTCAAGAGCTGTTATGAAGAAATACAAATGTGTGTTTTGGGAGGGATTGAAATATTGTATTCTCAGATGAGATCTCTGTAATGTCTGGAATGTTTGACCAGCTGAAACTCTGTGGAAACAACAAGTCAAGCCACCAAAACAAAGTTATTTTTACTTTTTTGGAAATAAATTATTCTGTTTTATTTGTTAAAGTTATATTGTACCAGTGAAATAGAGTCACCATGTGATGTTTGCAGAGAGCTTGATTCTCAGAGAACAGGGAAGTGGGTTCGTACATCAAAAGTTGCGGCACTTATAAACTCATTCATGGATAATTGTAAACTGCCTTTATTCAGATGAATATCAAGATATATTGACTTAGTGTGCAGGTCCATAAGAAGTGGACTAAGTATTATTTTGTTGACCTGAAAAGAAGCATTGATGTGAATGAAGTGCGTATATGACATCAGGCCGTTGCTATGGAAAGTGTTTCCCTTCCTCAGCTGCTGTGACTAACAGGTGAACAGTGTGGGAGGCACAGGCACAAACAGGCCTCCAGTCAAACACTCCAGTCCTGATAACAACATTTTAAGGGGGATAAAGTAAATATAGACTATTTAGTCAAACTACATTGTGCAATAGACACAATAACCCAAAAGCAATAAGCCAGCTGCAAGGGCCACTGGAGGAGCACATAAACAATATAAAATCCCCCACATGTGTGAGGGATAGTGATTAAAGATGAATAAATTGTATTTACCTTATTTCTGAAATAGAAATAATACGATTCCTATGTAGTTTCTGTTAAACTAATGTTTAACGTATACTCTTGATAATGTTGACATTTTGTTTTCTGACTTTACTTTGATAGAGACAAGTTTTTGTGATCAACAATAATAGGAAGTTAAACAATCTATTGAGGTGCAGAAATGTGACAATTTTCACAAAACATGTGCTGAATATCTGTGCTGAATAAAACACTGTCACACAGTGCCTCCTGTGCTTAAACGTTCATAAGACCTCATGGGGTGAGGTCAGAGTGAGGAAAGCTGGATTTCACCAGTGAAATGTGAGGATCTAAATCTAACTTTCTGGTTGGATACAGACCAAAACACCTCATGTTAACAAACAATGCAATGCTTTATACACACATCCATTACATTGTTCTTCAGTAAACATTTGAACACAACTGTAGCTCGTCTAGGGCACAGATGACACATGTTTATGCAAGCTCAAACTACAATCTTGAATACACAGTTCCTTCAGAGCAGGGCTTCCCCTTGGCTCTCTTATGGAGGAACTGAGGCTGCAGCTGAGACCGTGGGTGCGAGTGAAAGAACTGAAACATCAGATCAAAACACGCAAAAAGCCGAGGACATTCACCACTGCATGAATCACCCGCTCCTTGGAAAATGTAGGCGAGGCAGCCCCAGTGTTACTGCTGCCCATCATCACAGCAGAGCTCCGACTGAACTTATGTAATGGTTTTGTGGAGGCGCCTTGAATAAAATCACTCAGGGTTCAGCACAAAGCGCCTCGACCTGCCCAGACTGGCGCTGCTGCTTTCAGGGGAATCAGAGCCCACTCATCTGCTCTGTGCAGCCAAATGTGACATCACAACATGCTGGAAATCCAGCCTCTGCTTCTGACTAATATACAGTATGTCACCTGCCTTCGCTGTTCGCACTAAACTGCAATATTAAACTTTTCACTCGTTTTTTTAAATAAGTGAAAGTGTTTAGAGGAGTTCACTAAAAACATATTTTAGATAATGATATTTTTTAATTAGATATTTTTTTTTTGAGTTTGTTATTTTTTGATGTATTGATCATTTGTAATCGTCAAAGACCTTTGCGTTGCAAACAAAAGCATCAAGAATCAAACTTCATGCACTAATAATGTTGTTTAAAATTGTGCCCATGTATGTATTGGAAAACTTTAAACAATCTCCAGCCCTAGTCTGTAATAATATTTACTTTAAAACATTGAGATTAAGAATAAAAAAATCCCTATCATATGTATTCTTGCACACTGTGGCAGTGTTTGTAATTCATAAATGCCTGAGCGATCCTTATCAAAACACTGTTTCTCCACCTGGCCCATCTCACCAGTGTTCTTCCCTTACTTGTTCGATGACTTCTTGTGATACACGGGTGATTCAGCAGTGTTACCCGAGCATTTGGCTCAAAATAAAGAACAGGATAAAAAGCTACTTCATGGAAAAGTGTGAAAGTGTGAAGGGTGCCCTTTAAAGTAGTAGGAGAATTCTTTATATTGCTACAGTATTCTAGTCAACAATAATCATGTCCTGAATATCTCTACAGTCACTACAAGGGGCATATTATCACCATTAACTAATAACAAGTTAAGTTGGACTTTTAGTCCCAGTAGGAAAATTCGTCCTCTGCATTTAACCCATCCTACAATGCCACTAGGGCTCCATATAAACAAATTATTATCATCTTATCTGCATGCACGCCTCTCTCTGACTGAACTGGTCTTACTGGTTTAGCAGAATCAAATAAATTAATTGAGGAATAAAAGAGAAATCCTACAGCTAAATAAATTGGGTTGATTATGTTAAAACGGCTGTGTCGTTTTTCCATAAATTGTTTGCAGTCAGGATCAGCAGCTCTATGCAAACACCCACCAAAGGCCACAGCTAAATAATGTAAAATATAAAGATAAAATATAAGTATAAAAAGGTAACAATCCTGTTTTTTATTCTTTGAGAGAATACTTGATCCTCCAGCCAAATCAACAGACACATTTTAGCACATCTGATGGCTGCTCTCCGAATAATGATAAATTATGCTTTGTCAATTTAATCCACACCACCAAATTTGAGCCTACTCCAGCACTAAACTGTCTAAACAACCAAAGCAACACACAACGGTGTCTTTTCCGCCTCTTGTTTTGAAGACTGATTATTCCGTCATTTTGTTTGACACGTTTCACAGCTTTCACATTTTCAACAATTTCCACAAGTTATACATCAAAACGTTCCACATGTTTGGGAGATTATTGCTATTACTTTTGGGACTTCAGCGATTTCCGGTTTTTCCGCAATCGGACAAAAATCTGCATTGAGAATTCTGCAATGCATTTTAATAGGCCCATGCATTTTAATAGGACTTCAGCTCTTTCAGACATTTCTACAGTTTCAATGATTCAACAGTTTCAAGGATTCAACAGTTTCAAGGTTTCAACAGTTTCAAGGTTTCAACAGTTTCAAGGACTTCAACAGTTTCAAGGACTTCAACAGTTTCAAGGTTTCAACAGTTTCAAGGTTTCAACAGTTTCAAGGACTTCAGTGTAATCATGCAACCTAATACGGATTATAATTAAGTATAATGCAACTTAATAGGGATTTTTCCATGTAAACCAGTATAATGCAACTTAATAGGGTTTTTTTCATGTAAACCAGTATAATTCAACTTAATAGGGTTTTTTCATGTAAACCAGTATAATGCAACTTAATAGGGATTTTTCCATGTAAACCAGTATAATGCAACTTAATGAGGATTTTTCCATGTAAACCAGTATAATTCAACTTAATAGGGTTTTTTCATGCAAACCAGTATAATGCAACTTAATGGGGATTTTTCCATGTAAACCAGTATAATGGAACTTAATAGGGTTTTTTCCATGTAAACCAGTATAATGCAACTTAATAGGGATTTTTCCATGTAAACCAGTACAATGCAACTTAATAGGGATTTTTCCATGTAAACCAGTATAATGCAACTTAATAGGGTTTTTTTCATGTAAACCAGTATAATTCAACTTAATAGGGTTTTTTCATGCAAACCAGTATAATGCAACTTAATGGGGATTTTTCCATGTAAACCAGTATTATGCAACTTAATAGGGATTTTTCCATGTAAACCAGTATAATGCAACTTAATAGGGTTTTTTTCATGTAAACCAGTATAATGCAACTTAATAGGGTTTTTTTCATGTAAACCAGTATAATGCAACTTAATGGGGATTTTTCCATGTAAACCAGTATAATGCAACTTAATAGGGGTTTTTTTTTACATGTAAACCAGTATAATGGAACTTAATAGGGTTTTTTCCATGTAAACCAGTATAATGCAACTTAATAGGGATTTTTCCATGTAAACCAGTACAATGCAACTTAATAGGGATTTTTCCATGTAAACCAGTATAATGCAACTTAATAGGGTTTTTTTCATGTAAACCAGTATAATGCAACTTAATGGGGATTTTTCCATGTAAACCAGTATTATGCAACTTAATAGGGATTTTTCCATGTAAACCAGTATAATGCAACTTAATAGGGTTTTTTTCATGTAAACCAGTATAATGCAACTTAATAGGGTTTTTACATGTAAACCAGTATAATGGAACTTAATAGAGATTTTTCCATGTAAACCAGTATAATGCAACTTAATAGGGATTTTTCCATGTAAACCAGTATAATGCAACCTAATAGGGATTTTTTCATGTAAACCAGTATAATGCAACCTAATAGGTTGCATTATACCACCAGACCAAGACCCAAACGAAGACTCAGACCACCACCAGATAATGACCACAGACCAGGTTTCCTTAGTTACAGGAACCAAATTGTTTCAGCGGTGAGGGGATTTTTCAGTTTCAAGGACACTTTCAATACATTCAGTAGTTTCAAGGATTTCAACTGTTTAAGAATTTAACCAGTTTCAAGGATATCAGGAGGTTCAAGGATTTCAGGAGTTTCCACACTTTCAACAGTTTCCAGGTTTAAAAAAGTTTCAAGGATTTCAGGAGTTTCAATGTTTCAACAGTTTCAAGGATTTCAGGAGTTTAAAGGTTTCAACAATTTCAAGGACTTCAGGAGTTTCAAATATCTATCAAGTATTTTAACAGTTTCAAGGCCTTTTAAAGGATTTCAAGGATTTTTTTTAGCAGATTTCCACATTAGATCTGTTCCGCAGTCAATCGCAATGGCTTCAGCCATTGCAAGTTTCTAGTTAAACATTACAGACAGTATGGGCCAGAGAACTGTAGAGCAGTAAAATGTTTGTCCTCATGGTTTCTGTGGCTGCTGTGGTCAGACGTGACTCTCTGGACTGTGTGAAGCAGGGAGACCCGCGCACGTGCGGCCGCTATGTGAGATGCCAGAGAAAATAGTATTTTATCCCGTGTGAATGCACTGCAAAATCTCAGACGTTCTCCGTGATTATCACAAATGATCAGGGGTCCACAAGTAATACTGATCCCGTTCGAGTAAACAAACTTGTTTCACTTCCGGGTAATTGATTGACGGCGAAATGTATTAAATACATAGTAAAAAAAAAGGCATTTTCTAGTTCCCAAATCCGGTTATTATAATACATATATGTCTTATAAGCAATGAAAAAAGCCAAAATGGTCATTTTTGTATATTGCTGTCTGCCTGAAAATGCAAAATAGCCTTTTTTCGATTTTCCATTTCCCTTCAAAAATAGAAAATGTATTAAACGCAAAAGTACACAGACCTATTCAATTGTATTTTTAGGCAGCCACCAACTGTACAAGTCCTTCTACTTAAAAAGATGGGAGATGGTTCGTTTGTAAAAACCTATGTTGTGTTGTTGTGGGATTATTAAAAGATGCTGTTTGTGGACGTTATTGCATTGCCGAAATAATGCTATTTTATTAGAAAAACAATTGTAAATCTGACTTTTAATGTCAGTGCCTCCCCAATCACAAACCTCACCGTACAGTACATCACTGATCTATAATTAGAACTGGATAGGGTATTACTAGCTTATTGCTGTCCCACCAACGAGCACAGGGGGCGCCTGCGCTACTGCAGACTAAATTTACGAGGGCTACCCAGAAATTTTCCCCATAGAACTCAATGTAAACTAAAACAGCTCGGCCTCAGCTGACAGAGAACCTGACAGAGAACCTACAGCTTTCATTAAGATCAGATTTTGTTTGCATTTTAGTGTCCCTTGTCATCCTGAACTTTTTCTTCTTCTTAAATCCTTCAGTTTTCTTTAAATCCACAATTTAATGCAACAAACTCTGCTGTTTTTTCCCCGCTCTAACTCCGCTCTGATCAGCAGTTCTGATTGGTCAGAGCGCGGCCGAGCCCCTCTGTGCACGTGCATGAGAGCCACACACGCGTATTTGGCACAACGCATTGTGGGAGATCATCCACTGCGCAAAACCGGGAGGATCAGACGATGCCCAAATATAGGTGAGTTTTGCTAATCTCTCGACCTCTGTGTATGTCCCATGCTCTACTGAGCACAAGTCATTAATTTCAATAGGGCGCCATCTTGGATCTCCGGGGCGCTAGATTACAGCCTGGAAAAAAACATTCCGTGGGCAGTGACCCCGCCTTGTAGCAGAGGGCAACTGTGAAGTTCCAGTCACTACAAAGCCTCTTTCCTGGTCCTTCCTCTGTTCAGGGCAGCTCAAAGTTTTTACAACTTAACAGGTAAGACCATAAAACACTTTGTAAAAGTCTGTTTTGAATGCTGACATGAAACATACTGTGCTGTT